ATGGGGTGTGGGAGTGGGTGGGACGTTCTGGCTATTTGGCAGGGATTAGATGCTCGCACAAATGAGGGCACATTATGGATGGACTTAGATGTCACATTGATGACTGTTATTTTCCCGCGAATGTAACATTAGTTGAATTAACATGGGAGAGCCCGTGCAGTACTGTGTCCGTGTTGCTTATGCTGGTTTTGGCTAAGTTGACTCAAGACACCTATGAACCTGCGGAGAAGTCAATGTTCCCGCCTCCTCAACGGGCTCCATTCGATAACGCCAAATTGTGATAAACACCGTATACGGTGTATACGCTCATAGGAAATTGTTCTCGCGACAGGAAGCGGTACGTACCGCTTCGTGTCGCGAGAACAATTTCCTATGAGCTTCAGTCAGTTTGCCATTCATCGGCGTAAATTTGTTTCAATTTCACACCAAATGAACCTTCCAGTCGGGAGGTCGTGAATTGGCAGGTTTTTGAGCGATTGCCTGTCAAGCTGCAGAAGAGTCTGATATCTAGCCAAATTCCACAGTTTCAAAGCACTGAGCATAAACGTCGGAAAACCCATACCCTGTATATGGGGAAGTGTCGTGGGACACTGGTTCTTTGGCTGGGCTGGTAGGGCTGCGGAATGAGTGGGCGGGACAGCAAGTCCTAGCGCATTTGATGGCGACATAACATCGCCAGGAAAACTCATGTCCGCGATGCCAACTGCGATGCCATTGTGACACAACGTGACGCCATTACAGTGAGAGCGATGGCAGAAAAATTGCCTTTGGCAGTGCCAATAGCGCGCTCCGATGCGCTCAGACGATTTCGAGGCGCTCGGAAGCTCCATGGACGCCCCCCTTTTCCGTAGTGTAGACAAAGGTTATAATAAAAGTCGACGCAACACACTGGAGCAAAATGCGTTCATGTGTATGATACCATAGATTCATATTGCAGGTGAAAATTTGGCCATTAGCAAGTATATCTCCGTTTTGTAGATCTTGCTGGCTGGCTGAATATTGTGCACTGGACAGGTAAATATACACAATTCAAACGCTCCATGACATTTAACTCTTCAAAGCAGAACGGTATGACAATCCAATATGATTAGCATTGCGTTTGTAGAGTTAAATGGCAGGTTTAAAGGGTAGATTCAGGCTCGAACGCTCTTCTGTGCGCATCGCCTCTTGCGCGAAATGGAGCAGACTCATCTCGTTTTAACGACTGGTGTTATTATTTTGCATTATTTACGATGGCAGCGGCGCACGCACAACGCGCCAACCCAGCCCTGCCGCAGCCTTCGGTCGAATGCAGTCGGTGGAAAGGCAGTGGTTGTTGTTACGTACTGCGCAATCAAGATGAATTGATCAACATCACACAAATGACCAATTGTGCTATACAGAAGGCGCGCCCATGCGATCCCCCCTCACCGACACATTTTAGGCACAGCGCGCGCGCAACATGGACAGCACGCAGCAGCTTTCCGTCATGTAACATTTCTAAATGACGGAAGAGCAACATTTCCCTTTCCCGCTTGACTTTGTCTTCCCGCCTGACTCGCACACTGTGCCATTCTGCATTCTGCTCACGCCGTACGTCGCCATATGCTCCAGTACGAAGCATTTGGGCTTTGCTCGATGCTTCTCTACTCAATCCAAAAGAATGGCCCCCAATACTTTATGTTTCGCTGGATCCAAATTCGAAATCGATCTATATGATGGTGGCATAAAGCAGGCGGTGGTATTGGTGGACAAGAGACCTTGTTCGTGTCTTAATTTAGCAAGGAAACTGCGCTCCAACCAAGAAAATTCCTCTCCCAGGCACCATTCGAAGCCAATCGTTTATTCTCCTCGAAGACGTGCATTAATTGCACAGACTCCTTTTCCCGCATCCCAACACAGTCAATGGTCAATGCACCAACGGGTCTAGCTGGCCAACAAACTAGCTGTCAGAAACATGTTCTGCCCCAGGCATCCCACACTATGCCTGTCCGATTGCCAGGATCCCCCCACGTCTCATTGATCAGCAGCTTGTTGACTGCATTACCCTTGTCATCGGACAAACGATGAGGAAGGATTTATGAGGGCATCATCGTGTCCATTTACGTGAAAGACGACGATGTGGACAAGCCGCTGCCGCACATGGCTAAGCTGCCTTGCACTCGCAAGCTTGCAAGCCCATAGGCAGGGACCCTTCATCTCTGGCAAGCGCAACCTCTTTCATCGACCCAGGCACGCTAAAAGCATGGAAACAACCCAAACCCATAAACTTTGTACACGTTTGAACACGTGTTATTTGGCCCTTTTCCTCCCAGTGCCAGCAATGACTCGGAAGTCGCACCCACCACCACCGTGCGGGCAAAAGGGCGGTTCGCCGTCACGCCTTGATAAAATGCTTCTTGGCAAAACAAAAGTGAGTTCACTGCAGCCCAGCGGGCTGCAGCTACGCCACTCCGAGCCGGCATGAGAGGCAATCAACCGTTATTAATATTAATAATATTAATATTAATACAACCAATATTCCCGCGCTGCTCTTTTCCCAGCCCCGATGGCCGGCCTTCAACGTGCTCGAGTGCACCGCATCATCAGACCCAACTCCTGGTCGAGGCCCAGGTGTTGAGGGCAGGAGCGGACCACGGGATTCCGCCCAACCTACAATCAACGAAGAGTCAGCAAACGAGTGACGGCTAAGGTGCGATGGCCGCCCCTCACGTGGTCTCCATCACCCCCCTTTGGCGCGTCCTCGCATTTCTAACGGCACCATCAGGTAATCCATAATTCATCATCATCATGATTTTTTACAGAACAAGGCAATGAGGTAGCCGTCAGCTACCTATTATGGTAATCCATAATTCACACACCATACGTGACGATGCCTTTGCGCTGTACAATTCATGCATGCCACTGCGAGCGCATCCGCACACGGGCCCTTCTCGCGACACAGCATCGCCCAAGAAGCCATCCGTTTGATGAATTACATTGCGAAGCGGTTGGGGAATTGGGCGACGGCGTAACGTTGTCGCGGGCAGCACGCCCAAGTGTGTTGTGTAACGCGTTGCGGCACCCACCGCGCCCACGGATGCCCACCCCGGGGTTGGCCCACCCACCAATTTTCCACCGGGATTGGGCGCATGTACCGCGAACCCCCCATACCCGTATTTGCGGACCTCCCACGATGCGTCACCCAATGACGGGCGTGGTAGACGTGCCGGGCCCCGCTGATAAAGCGAGTCCCGCCCCCCAAAAAGACGGGCAGCAAAGCAGTCCCGTGCGGAATTTACTCACCCGCAGCCAAGGTAGGGTTTCTGCCCCGGGCGCCACGGCCCGCCCGCACCGCCCGTCGAGGAAATATCCTCGAGCGGCGCCTCCCGGCGACCTGCTGCCCCCGACACGGACGGCCATCCCGCGGCGAGATCAACCGGGCCCGGCCATCAAGGTGGAGGAGATTTTCGCGTTAGCGCGCCGTTACGCGAACGCGTTTCCCAACGATCGGCCCCCGCCGCCGCGGGGATGGGAGGGGGCGGGAGACATCATCGAATCGGGGTCCTTGGCGGGCGGCAGGGTCTGGGATCGGCGCCTAGGGCCCCGCCCGGCGTGGGGCTGTCGGGTATCGGGGCGAGGGGGGGCTGTACCGGATGCGGCTGGGCGGGAACGGGGGGGGCTTGTGGCCCGGCCGAGGTGGAGGGGCGGCTTTGCGGCTGCCAGGCGGCCGCCGTGGCCTCCCGCTCACCGAGCACGCCTCGGCTCTTTCGTCTGCTCTGACTTGGAGGGCGGCCGGGGGCAGGAGGGAGGGCGGACGCGGCGGTCGCCGCACGACGGGCGCAGCGCCTTTCGCGCCCGTCCTGGGGGCCGGGCGTCGACGGAGGGGGTGGGGTGGGTGTACGGGGTGGATGGCGTTGGCATGACGGCCAGCGGTTCTCATTGGATGGGGTGATTGATTTTGGGGCGGGTCGGTGGCAATCCGGCTGATTGCGCCTGGCAAAGCGGTGCCCGGGGAGGGGAGGGGGGGGGGTGTGCGGGCGCGGATGCCGGACTGACGCGTGTTGGGTGGGGCGGAATGGCGCAGAGCTGGACGAGGTCGGTGCCGGTGTGTGGTGCCCGTTTGTCGGGGCTTTGAGGGAGGGACGGGGGCCCCGGGGGTGAGTAGCGCTGGCGTGTGCCTTTGGTCATGCGGACGTGGGTGGGGATGTCGGAATGACGCCCCGGAGGGCGGCGTGATGTCTGGGCGTCGCCGCCGCGCGTGCCGGACGAGGTTCGCGTCGTTCGTGGTGTGCCCTGGGAGGGCCGCGGCTGAAACCCCCTTCTTTGAAATCTCTGAGGAGAATCCCTTGATTGCCTTCCAAGCGCAGGGCGGGAACGATGCAGGCTTTGAAATCTCTTAGTAGGATCCGTTGGTGCCCTTCCAAGCGCGAAGCGGGACGACGCAGCCTTTGGCGATGAAGTGCCGAGGCAGCGGTGCCCCACCAAACCGATCCGACCGATGGTTGGCGTTGGCTCCTTCTGATGACGTGAGCTGAGAGCAGCCGATCCACGGAGCGCACAAAGTGGCTGTCGAGGAGTGCTCGCGATTTCCAGCCCCCCGGCGCGCTTCAGTCCTGCCGAAATCTGTCACTGCTGACTAAATTGAGTGTCGCCAAATGTCATTGGGCGCATTTGAGTCGCGTCCGTCGGCCGTCATGCTGGCGCAGAATGCGGCGCCCACGCGCCGTGGGATACTGGGCATTAATTTGGACAATTAATTCATAATTAATTCAATGTTTAGCATTTATTTTGAGCAGCTTGGCAGACGATGGGGGCCACCCTTGAAGGCCGCCACTTGAGGTTTTATGGTGCTTTTTGTGAGGATTGAACGCCAAAGGGAGGGGGACGAGTCATGAGTTTCTTGCCATTTTTCAGCAGCGTTTTGGCTGATACATAAATGTTAGGTGTGCAGCGAGGAGGAACAGGATGCAGCATGTTGAAAAGTTTCGATCATCGTCCAGGATTCAAGTTTGAATGCATGAAATGTGCTGTCGCAGGGCATGTCCCAAGAATGCGAGGTTGGGAGCAGGGCAGAAGTGGTGCTGATCGACCCCCCCTGCCTGGTTGCTGAGAGGGACTGCGATGTGGACATCCATTTTTCAAGGGAGGTCCACGTTCGAAAAATGGCGCTGACCCGTGACGGCACGCTCATGGCCAATGCGCCATCCGCACCCCAGATGACCAAGACCATAAGGTACGAGGGCGCCTTCCAAAAGGAAATAGAAATGAAAAGAGCGAAAGAGGGAGGCAAAAGAAGGGATAGGAAGATGAAAGAAAAAGTAGCACAAAGAGCAGAGCATAACTACTGGTAGGAAAAGGCAGAGATTTGGGGATGCAAATGAATGAATGAATGAATGCATGCAGCATGGCACAACGCGTGACGAAATTGCTCATCTCCACACTGAAACGAATGTATCCCCGGCCGGAGAATTATCTGTGATAGATTGTCCTACCCCAGATTCAGGGTTGGGAGGGAAATCAAATAATGGCAACAGGAATGAATGAAACTGAAAGTGAAAGGGCAAAGTGATGTTGATAGCGAAGAAGATGTCATAATGGAAGGGGAAAGAACGTTGAAAGGCGAGGTGGGAAAACAATGCAAAAAAAGGACAAAGTATGTGGTGCACCCCTGGCACCCCAAATGACTGGCAGGCAAGCAACAGGCACACAGGCAAACAGGCAGATAATACTCAATGGATATGATACTGGTGCGATGCCGATAGATAACGATCAGCTGATCATGAAACCATTCCTTAGTCTTTGCAAATTGCGAGCGAACTGATTGAGTTCATTGTGCCTTGGCGGATGGATCAAGTTGCGACTTTTGGCGAGCCATGGTGGACAGCATGTGGATCAGAAGAGGGACAGTCTTGGCCCGGGCAAACAATGTCCCGATGCAATGGTTCATCAGCTTAGTTTTAGTTATTTGATAATTCAGTTTGGTAGGTATCAGTAAATAGTGGATTGATGCAGAGGGTCAACCTCAGCCGTGGCAGCCGGCTCCAATGCACAACATGGCAGTACGACATTTTATCTCAACTCTATGCTACATACTCTATTACGTGCTCAATATTTTGCCATTGGTGAGCCGTTCTCTCACTCAGCTGCATCTGTCAGCTGCAGCGTGTTATGCTATTCTGTAACTAGGGCAGCATTGCCAGTGCTGCAGTACAACTGAGCAGGATAAATGAGCAATAATACTGAGCAATGGTCATAATGGCAGCGCGGTCCAGAGTGCAGTCCACAAGAGCCAGTTTCAGTGAATGGGTTGACCACTGCCACTTCACAGTTACCAGCAAGCAGCTTAGTTTCTGTAATCAGGGGATTGATCTAAGTATGGTGCTCAAGCGCCAACATAGACTGTGTGGGAATTGGCACGTTGTGCTTGGAGATGGTCTTTGCAACGCGCCAATTAACCCAATTAGATCCAATTTCAACTGCCCGAATCGCAATCACAATGTGCAGGGATGGATTACCGGACACCCTGATCGCCCCAATTTGTCACGCATCACTCCTTGGGCTCCAGGATATACCATGTCCGGGGGGGTGATGTTTAGTCAGGCATTTGTATCAAAGGGATCCCGATTCTAGCAAAACCTCTCTCCAGAGCTCCAGGGTTCTGTCCCTGGGATCAACAGCTGCTGCACATCCAACTGCCTGAATCTTAACATGCTATTGCCCATTTGAAACCCACAAATTCTAACTCAACTCGCCAATCAACCTCCAGGGTGTCTGTCCCTGCAATCGAGAGCTGCTGTGTGTGCGTGGACGTCGATCTGGGCCGTGGCGATGAGTCCAGGCCCACCCTGTGCATGCTAGTGCTGCCCAAGGCGGCAGCCGAGGAGATTTGCGACCTGTTCTCGCACATGATGGCAGACATTTATGCCAGCAGAGCGGGGGCCAGCTGCGTGGATGCGCTGCAGGTGGGTGTGGACTGGGAGAGTCATGATCGTCATAATGAACAATGTCAACTAAGTTGATGCAAATTAGTAGTGGCAACTCGTAAGAGATGCCTTCTCCGGTAGCCAAGGAAAGGATGGACAGCAATGATGGGCGCGTTGATTGATGATCATGGATAAGAAGTTTGATGGAAATGGGTGATTATTACTGACTGGATGGATTGGCATAAATTTCCAAGTAATTCGAAGTTCTGCAGTGCTTTGCACTGCAAGCTACCCTCCGCTAGTACATGCTCTTTCAGTTTTAGGAACAGTTGAAACTGGCACCAACAACTGTCCAAGCACAGTGGTTAAGGTTGTGTGCAAGTTGCAGCAGATGCCACACTTGCCCTTGGTATTGTTCCTGTCGTCTTCAATTTGCCTTGCTTTCGTCCTCATCCTCGTCGCTTTCCCCGTCCGCAGAATCCCATGGATGCACCTGCCACAGCGGACGGCCCCCTCCCGCCGGAGTCCCTAGACGACCAGGAGCTCAAGGAGGCCGCCTGGACGACTTACTTCCGCCAGTTCTCCGCCGACTTCGCTCAGATCCTTAAGGACCTCGACTCGGGCGCACCCGGCGGCCACACCGGCAGTGTGCCCATGGCCATGTACCTCTTGAAGCGGCGCTCCTGGAGCACCGCCTCCTTCCTGCTGAACAGGTGTCTGGCCAGCGGCGTGCGGGTGACCTGGGGCCCGTTCGTGCTGTCTGAGAGCGACCTTGGGCCAGAGCAGCTTGAGAGGGACTTTTCGTCCCATGTGCAGCTGGTTGAGGCCAATGGCCAGGACTCGCCGATGGACTAGGGCTTCTTGGGTGGAGTGGGGGTGGGGGGGCTGCTTGTTCGACGCAGTTTGCGGGTGTGGGCGGCGCGATTTGCCAAAGGGGGTGTTCCGCAGCAACTGTGCTGGCCGCCCTGTGCTTGACCAAGGCAGTAGCACTTTTTTCCCGCGCCCCAGCCGGCATGGCTGGGGCGCGACTCGGTTTGATTTGTCCCGGGATTCAAGGCGTTTCGTTGCCATGTGGATCGTCAGACTCCGAGGATTCTGCGAAATAAGGTTTTGGAATTGACCGATTGAGTCGTCGGTGCACAATTGTTTGACTGCTGGGGTGCGGCGGCGGTGCTGCTTGGCTGCGGCTGGTGTGTGCTCGGGGGAGATATGTTTTGTTTTGAATGGGGGAGTTCTTCGTTCCTTGGGAAGGGGAGGCGTTACAAACGTCCTGTCGTTGGCGGCAAGAGTCCATTGCACATGGGAGTGGGTGCACGCCGGACGACGCATGGACGTCGGCCGCCCAATTTTGCTCATTCGGACACATGCAATAACAGCTCGCTTGGGCATTTCAGGCGGACACCTGGGGATTGATTCTGGGTGGGCGACAAACTGTCCACCTTATTGGGCCTTTTTTTCCTTGGTATTGCTTGGTCTAGAACTCGCTGGAGAATGATAGTCCGTGGGCCGGGCCCTAAGATCCTGGAGACGGAATTCATCGCCGGTGGTTGGGGGCCACTTGGATGGCGGCAGCTTCTTTGAACCTTTCTGAGAGCCGTGCTAGCTTCTTTCAACCTTCCATAGTACTTATTTGATCCTTCTTTGGCGATGCGGAACCTGCTTGCGTGGAACCTTGAGAACTGAATGAATGTCTCCGTGGAGTGCTGGGTTGGTCCTTGTATATTGCGTTTGCGTAGTGGGGTGTGATTGTAAGTACAACGGGAAGATGGGATGCCAACATCGTGCACCAATTGGATGTTGTGTCGAGAGGTAGTTCAGTTGATATTGGAGAAATGTTCAACCAACCGACTACCCGACCGTGCAAAAGTGCTTCGGTCGTGGTGTTGCCTGCAGAGAATGCATAGGCCGCCATGGCCACTTGAGCGGCAAAAGCTTTCGTCGCAGCCTTCAGGCGTCTTCCCTTGGCATCGCAAGAAAGACGCGGAAATTTTAAGGCTTGCAGCTGTGGTCCAGCCGTATCCTGCATGGTGTTCCGGGCTGTCCCTGCTTTGGGGAACTTCACAATGTGAAGTTCACACTATCCAATGGGAGCCAGCAACCAGGTCAGACTCATTGGATCAGAGGATGTACACATCATCTTACGCAATTCTGCACACGACCTCACCATGCTTTGCTGAACGAGGTGTTGGCAACTGCGCTTCGCGTTGCTCTTTTCCCTTCTTTCCCATTTCTAGTGCAATTGGACGCAGCTGGAAAACTGCAACGGCAATGCGCTCTGGCGATAAAATGTCATTTCACCCTCAATTCATTTAACATTTGCTCTCAATTTGCGTGTCCTTTGTTTTGGCTGTGCACTAGTGGTGCACGGAGCACAATCCCCACACACAATGCAGCCCCAGTTTAACACAATGCACTGACTTCATGATTTATGCAAATTTGACGCCATTTAGAAGCAACGGACGTTACTTTTCTCTCCGATTTTGAATCATCATCGGATGCAAATTATGACCTTTATTAGCTCGATGGCCGTTAACGGTAACGAAATGTTTCATTCAGAGGAAGTGAGTTTGGGCTGAGGGAACAGCTAATTTAGATACCAGTAATCCAACAGCGGACCAGTCCGTCTCGCACGGGCAAAAGACTCAACACTCTGCTATTTTTCCCTGTACCCTTTCAGCCCTGAAATATGTCAGAACTTAAGATTTGCCATTCAATAACGTAACGATTGGGAATTAATTGCATTTGGGAATTTGCACCAGCGATTGTGTACATCCGTCTTGAGTTCACGTGGCACCCTGGTATCCGTCTTGCGTTCACGTGGCACCCTGGTATCCGTCTTGCGTTCACGTGGCACCCCAGCTTTTGACAAACAAGAAACGCACTGCGTCGATTCTCTCCTCTCAGGCCCCAACTGGCGCAGCAGAAGCACATGGGTTGGCGATGCCCAGGCACATGCACATGAGGCTAAGTTTTGGCTGCAGAGACCATCCCAGCATCCCCTTATTGCCGCGACATGCACATGCAAGCTAAGGGAAGGCATCATCCACCGCTGATCAGAGGCAAGCCAGTCACAGCGTGTTCAGAGAAATCTTCTTGTGTTCAATCTCCAAGTAGGCTCCCAAAAGGTCTCAATTGGCAGCCTCCGTCGTCCGCTTGCGCTAACGACGTCCCATTTTCGAACATCTCTAGTCGAGGCAACGCTGGGCGTTTGCCATTCTTTCAAGCCCTATGCGCTTTGCACACAACGCCCTGACGGTTTCTCATCTTGTGAAGTCGTGCCGGCATTCACGCAGAATTAACGCCAAGAGGAAGGTGGGAGGGAACTTACATCTTCCTCTGTCCGGAATTAAATGAACGCTTTGGATGGGGAGGCCTTGTTCATGTAAGACCTGTTATTTGCGTTTAAAATCAAATTGCTGCACCAATTACGCGTAATTTAAATGCTGTCAAATTCCTACAGGGAACGCATAAATACAATAGATCTGGCAGGGCATCAAACACAGCCCCTTCCAGACCGTAATTTTGTCCATCGCATGGATGCGCTGGCCTGGCCGGAGATGGCGCTCCTTGCCCAGGAAAGCCCCACTCTTGAGTGCAGCCTTTCCCGCAGACTCCACAGCGCCGTTAAAGTAGATCTGTGCACGGAAATCGGGCTGCAGCCCAACGATCGACATCCATCGAGGTGGAGTGCCGGCAGAAACGGCACCGGGATCTGTTGGTCGGCCTCACCGAGTTCCGGATTTCGACCTATCTTGTGCAGCGACACACCGACATGTGTAAGATCCATCCTTTCTAGTAGGTCGTCAGGTACCCTGAGACCCGCCCTGCTATGGCTGCGTGCACTAAAGTCTCTCTGTTCCGTCCCGGCTTGGAGGCAAATGGCACGCCCGGAGCACAGACATGCCTCTAAAAAGCCATGAACTCCCGCCAAACTCGGTCATGGAACATTTCGATGGCCAGATGCAGGTGTCTGTGCGGCCAGCCTTTCAGAATCCTGCGTGGGGTCTGTCAAAACGCCGTGAACAGACCAGTCGACCCTCGCCGTGGGAGCACCCGGGCCAGCCGTATCTGGCGAACTTTCTGCTCCTGTGCAGAAGGCCCAGCACACTCTCCTTCCGAACTTCTCACGGCGGCTTTCCTAGCCTCAAGCACTCCGTCCATGGTGGAGGCTATTTCTGAAAGAACCACAGATCGTGAAGTCGGTCAAGTTGCCCGTTCCGATCAACAGATGAGCATCTGTTGGACGGTCAAAACCATGGTGGCGATCGACGATCGACTGGTAAAAAAGCCCGCCAACACGGTCTCGCCTCATCTCAGGGACGGCTCCAAACTGCATTCTCAACGTTGGCAGTGGATATCCATTTTTCGGTGCGCAACGTCAAGTGCAAGGCCGCCGTCTTACGGGGGCGTTTGGGAGGGTCCCCAGGGTCCACCTTGAGATTCTTCGACAGCTCCTCCCGAATCGTCGGACTCAAAGTACAGCGATTTGCGCACTGCCTAATAAATTGACTTGAAGTTTTGAATAGAGCATTGCATGTGATTTTGTTAGATGCTCCCAAAATTTTATAAAGAACAGATAAGTTGCACGATATGATTTTAACCTGTCGAACAAACCTGGTCATTGGATTCCGGACAGAGGAATTACAAGTCACTGTGACGAGGTGTGAACCTTACTTTGCCTCCAGCTTTGGGACATTTAGCTAGAGCCCTTGGACAAGGAAAGGCACATGGAAGAACACCAGGTGTCAAGGCAGTGTGTCCATTTCAGAGATCGATGTCCACACGAAACTATCCAGACAATGGCAGTGCCCAAGAACCAGGAATTGGGGAGGGGCGGGGGGTTAGCTGCTGTCAGGTCAAAGGTCAGCTCGACACAAGACGCAACGGAATTGAAGTAATGAATGTTCCCTAAAATCAAAACAAGTTTCAGGTGCACTTGAAGCATGCCTTTCCGTGACTACGTAGTATCATCAAGAATTAACTATATGATGTAGACATATGATATAGATGCGAAACAGATACGATACAGATATATGATGTAGAAGTAAAACAAAGTTAAGACCGAGCAGTTAAAGTTAATCATCTATAAAACAGATTAGTGATAGAATCCCAAAAGTACACATTTAGTACACACAGTGACACAATTTTAACCGTGCATCCTAGGAAACCGTGTAGTATACACAGTTGTGTGAGGGTGCACGGTTGAAACTGCGTCAATGTGTGTACTAACTGTGTACTTTTGGGACCACATTTGCCGAAAGTACACGGTTGGATTTTGAGCAGACCGTGTCAGGACTGTTTCATCTGGCCTGTTTTTTCCTAGTGACTTGCCTCAACGGCGCAGTTGGACTTCCTTAGGGATCCAGCGACGATCCAGCCCGAAATGGATCATGGGCCGACTGGGGCGCGCCCTGTTTGCGACAAGCCATCGCAACGCGTTGCGCTGCTGGTCGTAAGTACAGCACGACCGTGCACTGTAAGCCGCAGCGCTATTCTCCGAAGTGGTTCAGGAAGGGAATGCCGCAATGGGAAGCCGGTATGAGTGTGTCGTTTATTCTGCCAGCACTGCGGAAGCGCTCTTGAAAGAGCCCGCCCGCTGGGCGCTCAAGTCAGTCGCCGCACATCGCCGTAAATCGAAGGATCAATCAGCAAACCAGCCATACTTTCACCGCACCTCTCGAAGGAGTATTGCAGCCGCATGAACGTCCAAACCCCCACCTCTCCCCCACTCCACCCACCCACCGGTGCCCAAACGTCGTACGAACTACTGGGCGCCGACGCAGCCGGTCGCCCCTCCCCATGCTCCGGCGCTGAAGCAAGTGCCACGCGAAGTACCGTTCTCAGGGTCTTCCAGT